GCCCAGAAACTCTCTGTCCTTCCTTCAGGGCAGAGCTTCATTCTTGGGGCCAGGGACAGGAACATATGTTTGCATTCCTCTCTGCTGAAGCCACCCAGGAAGTGAAAGAAAAACCTTACAGCTAAATCCCCGTTGTAGCACTTCCTGCCACAGGTCTGCTCAACTCCACTGAGCAGAGGACGCAATCTACACCCCTTTCCCTCGACCCATGAAGCCCTACCCATGCCTCCAAATGAGTCTCATCTGTGTCGCTGCCACCTTGTCCTTCCTAGGAACACCCTGAGCTCATCCAGCCTCTCAGCCTTTGCCTGGGCTGTGTCTTCTGCCAGAACTCCCCACCCCCCCACCCCTTAGATCACTATGATTGTTCCCATTTGTCCTTGGATTTCGGTGTCAAAGTCGCTTCCTCCAGAAAGCTCTCTCAGACCCAGTTATCACCCCTACCAGCCTGGCCCCAAGGGCCACTGGAATCATTACTGGGTGATAATTTGTTTATTGCCAGCTCCCCCACTACAATATCAGCTCTTCTGGGCAAACATTGGGTCTTCCTTGGCCCCAATTGCCTGAACACAGGCAGTGCCAAATAAGGTCTGTGGGTAACTTAATGATTATAGTCAACAAAAATACCAAAGACATTTTTGTGGCATGATTTGTGATGGGGTTACAGAGACAGGAGACTTCTTAAATCTATTCCCAAAGGTCTACATCCTGGGGTCTGTATCCTACCAAGGATGCTGGCTTGATGTCTTCTCAGCTGGACTCTTGCTCTTTTTTTTTTTTTGGCAGCTGGCTGGTACAGGGACAGAACCCTGGACCTTGATGTTATCAGCACCGCGCTCTAACCAACTGAGCTAACCATTCGGTCTTACTTCGGTCCATTACAGCCCCTCCTCCCCAGGGCAGCCTCAGTGCTAAATCAGATCTCATCGGCCCTGCTTCAAACCCTCCCATGGCTCCAGGTTACTCTTAGGACAAAACCCACCAGGACTCCCATGATCTGGCCCCTGCTGATTGCCCAGTCATCCTCTTCCTCCTCATCTCACCCTCGTACACCGGCCTCCTGGCTGCTCTTCAACCTGCTAAGCTCAACCCCGCCCCCCCCCCCCCCGGCC